GGGCCGGGGCTGGCGCCTGGCTGCTGGCCTTGAGGCGGGGCGGTAGAGCCTCTCCTGGAGATGGGCCGGGGCTGGCGCCTGGCTGCTGGCCTTGAGGCGGGGGCGGTAGAGCCTCTCCTGGAGATGGGCCGGGGCTGGCGCCTGGCTGCTGGCCTTGAGGCGGGGGCGGTAGAGCCTCTCCTGGAGATGGGCCGGGGCTGGCGCCTGGCTGCTGGCCTTGAGGCGGGGGCGGTAGAGCCCCTCCTGGAGATGGGCCGGGGCTGGCGCCTGGCTGCTGGCCTTGAGGCGGGGGCGGTAGAGCCTCTCCTGGAGATGGGCCGGGGCTGGCGCCTGGCTGCTGGCCTTGAGGCGGGGGCGGTAGAGCCTCTCCTGGAGATGGGCCGGGGCTGGCGCCTGGCTGCTGGCCTTGAGGCGGGGGCGGTAGAGCCCCTCCTGGAGATGGGCCGGGGCTGGCGCCTGGCTGCTGGCCTTGAGGCGGGGGCGGTAGAGCCTCTCCTGGAGATGGGCCGGGGCTGGCGCCTGGCTGCTGGCCTTGAGGCGGGGGCGGTAGAGCCTCTCCTGGAGATGGGCCGGGGCTGGCGCCTGGCTGCTGGCCTTGAGGCGGGGGCGGTAGAGCCTCTCCTGGAGATGGGCCGGGGCTGGCGCCTGGCTGCTGGCCTTGAGGCGGGGGCGGTAGAGCCTCTCCTGGAGATGGGCCGGGGCTGGCGCCTGGCTGCTGGCCTTGAGGCGGGGGCGGTAGAGCCTCTCCTGGAGATGGGCCGGGGCTGGCGCCTGGCTGCTGGCCTTGAGGCGGGGGCGGCAGAGCCTCTCCTGGAGATGGGCCGGGGCTGGCGCCTGGCTGCTGGCCTTGAGGCGGGGGCGGTAGAGCCCCTCCTGGAGATGGGCCGGGGCTGGCGCCTGGCTGCTGGCCTTGAGGCGGGGGCGGCAGAGCCCCTCCTGGAGATGGGCCGGGGCTGGCGCCTGGCTGCTGGCCTTGAGGCGGGGGCGGTAGAGCCCCTCCTGGAGATGGGCCGGGGCTGGCGCCTGGCTGCTGGCCTTGAGGCGGGGACGGTAGAGCCCCTCCTGGAGATGGGCCGGGGCTGGCGCCTGGCTGCTGGCCTTGAGGCGGAGACGGTAGAGCCTCTCCTGGAGATGGGCCGGGGCTGGCGCCTGGCTGCTGGCCTTGAGGCGGGGGCGGTAGAGCCCCTCCTGGAGATGGGCCGGGGCTGGCACCTGGCTGCTGGCCTTGAGGCGGGGGCGGTAGAGCCCCTCCTGGAGATGGGCCGGGGCTGGCGCCTGGCTGCTGGCCTTGAGGCGGGGGCGGTAGAGCCCCTCCTGGAGATGGGCCGGGGCTGGTGCCTGGCTGCTGGCCTTGAGGCGGGGGCGGTAGAGCCTCTCCTGGAGATGGGCCGGGGCTGGCGCCTGGCTGCTGGCCTTGAGGCGGGGACGGTAGAGCCTCTCCTGGAGATGGGCCGGGGCTGGCGCCTGGCTGCTGGCCTTGAGGCGGGGACGGTAGAGCCTCTCCTGGAGATGGGCCGGGGCTGGTGCCTGGCTGCTGGCCTGGAGGCGGGGGCGGTAGAGCCCCTCCTGGAGATGGGATGGGGCTAATCTGTGAGTGAGTGGGTTCGCTAAAGCCTGAATCTGGGTCTTGGTTTGGAGGTGGGCTATGGCTGGCTCCTGGCTGACGAGATTGCGGAGGCGGCTGTGCCAGCCCAGGCGGGCTCGGACTGGATCCAGGCAGCTGACCCGGCGGCGGAGGCGGCTGTGCCAGCGTAGGCGGGCTCGGACTGGATCTCGGCAGCTGGCCCGGCGGCGGAGGCGGCTGTGCCAGCGTAGGCGGGCTCGGACTGGATCTAGGCAGCTGGCCCGGCGGCGGAGGCGGCTGTGCCAGCCCAGGCGGGCTCGGACTGGATCCAGGCAACTGGCCCGGCGGCGGAGGCGGCTGTGCCAGCCCAGGCGGGCTCGGACTGGATCCAGGCAGCTGGCCCGGCGGCGGAGGCGGCTGTGCCAGCCCAGGCGGGCTCGGACTGGATCTAGGCAGCTGGCCCGGCGGCGGAGGCGGCTGTGCCAGCGTAAGCGGGCTCGGACTAGATCCAGGCAGCTGGCCCGGCGGCGGAGGCGGCTGTGCTAGCCCAGGCGGGCTCGGACTGGATCTCGGCAGCTGGCCCGGCGGCGGAGGCGGCTGTGCCAGCCCAGGCGGGCTCGGACTGGATCCAGGCAGCTGACCCGGCGGCGGAGGCGGCTGTGCCAGCGTAGGCGGGCTCGGACTGGATCTCGGCAGCTGGCCCGGCGGCGGAGGCGGCTGTGCCAGCGTAGGCGGGCTCGGACTGGATCTAGGCAGTTGGCCCGGCGGCGGAGGCGGCTGTGCCAGCCCAGGCGGGCTCGGACTGGCATCATGGGGGTAAGCGGGTGGCATCGTTGGATTGTTGCTGACGGCGGGTGTGGGTCGCGAAGGCGGAGGCCGGTCAGGGGCCGGTGTGGGGACGGGCATTGTCCCAAGCATGCAGCATTCGCCGAGTGGCATGGACCCAGAGTTGAAAATGGCAAACTTGCAAGCGCCCTCATTGAAGCAAAGCCTCGACAGGGTGGTGCAAGGCAGCCCGAGTGTGAAACAGATCTCCGAGTCCACGGCAGTGCTGACATTCCATTGCAGATTTGAAATTTTGAGTACGACAGAGGGCCCGACATTGGAGATCCACTGAAAAGCTTTGCCGGACTTGCCGTTGATGCTGACATTGCGAAGGGACTTGAAGCATTGGGGATCTGCAAGCACAAAGAAATGGTGCAGATGGGTAAAAGGAACACACCGAGGCGGGAGGGGGAGATGTGAATGTTTGCCGTCGATGACAGACTTGGACGGTCATCAGAGCTGTGGCGCCTATCGGCTTTTAGAATCTACACCAGTGGCCTCCTTCCCGAGGCAATTCCCTGCTCTCCCCTGCTAGAGGGGCACCCTAATCCATTCACCCCATCCGACTTCGGAGTGTGCTCTTTGAGTTATCTTTGACCTTGCCGGGATTTGTTACTCACGCAACTCTTTTGGCGTGTGGGATGGATTACTGCGGCATAAAATTAAAAGCTTTCCCTTTAGTTCTTTATCCCCTTTAGTTCCCCGCTGGGCCCACGAGAGATAACAGCAAGATTGGTAGATTGGCGCATCGGAAAATCCCAATCCACCCCAGGCGCGCCAATCTCGCAGACTGTTCCCAGTTCCCCAGGAGGGTATGAACAGCGGGAAGATGAGGCTGGGGTCCTGGCGCAAGCTACCAGCGCAACGGCATTTAAATATCGCGACAAGGGGGTCCTTTTATATCTAAGTGTCAGTCCCTCAGTATCTAAGTGAAGTTGAAGGGGGGGTCTCTGGCCAGCTGGATGAGAAAAGACGGCAGCTAGATGAGGCGCCCGGCCGCCTTCGGGACAGCTAGATGAGGCTCGGTGGCTGCCAGATGAGGGTTCGCGGGGTCCGAAATTTCACCTGGATGAATGTATGGCATATCCCGATATGCAATTTGGGTGCTCTACAATTATCTAGTTACGCTTCCTTATAAATATTAACATTTTTAAACCGGAAAAGCGCTCCCGTCGCCATCAGTTGATCGTCATGTCCATGCGTCCAGCAGGCTTTCACAAAATGTATCTGGATGCCAGTCAACTTACAACCAAATGAATATAGGAGGACATGAAATGGTATTTAAAAACATGTTTCTTTTCAGTCAGATGCGCGCGCGGGGCCCCTCTCCTGGCAGCTAGATGAGGCGTCGGGACAGCTAGATGAGGCTGACGGGGGGTTGTCAGGCGGTCAAGATGAGGCTCGGGGCTCAGCTAGATGAGACAAGGGGGGTTCCCCGCGATATCTAGATACCATGTGAACTTAGTTAGATATTATTTTTTTTCAAAGTGTAATTATTATCAAAGTGTAATTAGTTAAACTTTTCATACGCGACACATGGACGCCTCACCCGCCTCAAGCTCCAATTTTCGAAAGTCTTTCAGCGTTGATTCACAGCAGCTCTTCGCCCGGTCCTTCAGACCGCCACAGCTCAGGATCTGTGCCACGCGGAAGCAGCTTCGGATGGTTCCATCTCTCTGCAAACATCATATTACCAGTCAGAACGGAAATTTAGTCCTTCAAGTTCAAATTCCAAGAATACCGTGATAAAAAAAGGAGCACATTTTTGATGTTATACTGATTGGCCAGTTTGGTAACGGGCCAAGTGATGCCGTTATGCGCTATAACGCTGATCGGCTGGATCTTATGTTAGGTGGGTATTAGCACCTCGGCGGAAGCAAAAAAGGCTTAGCCAGTACGGTGATGCTTGGATAGCTGGATAGATGTGTGGAATCGATGGATGGATTGGTAGATGGATGGATGCCGCGTGGATGTGCGTGGCGGCAGACATGGCGTAGAGATGGACGGATGAGGGCTACTGAAGGCCTTTAATTACAACTCTTTCGTCATTGCGCGCAAACCTCACTCAACGCATATATCGTCCTATGTCCTATGGAGTTACCTGAACAGGCGTATATTACCGGATTGGAGATGGGGCGCGCGCAGCGAATTGACGGGTGAACTAACGATATAACGATAAGGTGCCACTAATGTTGCTACAGCCCGCTACAACAGTACGTAAAAACTGCGTGGTGATGATGACGGCGTTTCTACATCAACATTGGACACTGTATGCCGCCGCCGTGGCAATGTCGACAACGGAAACATTATAAAAAATTTTAAAAATTCAAGGAGTCTAAGAAATAAAGGCATTACGATTTGGACCCACCAGCAACCTAGAGGAGTTGAAGATCAAGTCGTACGGATTGTTGACCTTGCCGCGGTTGCAGCGGCAGTACGGGAACTGAGCTCGGCTGCGGGCAATCAATCAGCCGATGTATCATAAGTAAGATAAGTACGAAGAAAGGAGAGGTCCTCTGCAGGTCCACAGTCAGCCCACAGACAACCCATCCTCAGAAGTCACCCCAGTCCCCAGTCCCCAGTCCCCACTCCCCCCCATTCCCCACTCCCCACTCAGGAGGCTCCTCAAACTTACATACATACGTACCCGGTGCTGCTACGACAGCAACGAGCAAATGAGTCGGCTCTCACGAACACAGACAGAGTAACCACGACGTGCGAAACTTGCCCCAAAATCGTCACAATGACCGCCATCCCTTAAAAAAACATTTGTTACCGTTTCTTGCTGCAGGTAGAGCTGTGCATTCACCCAGCACATACGTTTCTAGGACGTTTTTTAAATTCCTTGCTAGAGTTTTAGCTCTCTAAGTAGGCACCTAGCGAGCGTCCTTCCTATGTTCCCCCGTCCCGTCCCGCATCCCTTTTGCCAGCCGCATTTGTACCTTAGGAATGCTGACTGGGAGTTCCCGGCCAGATTCACGTAGTCGCCCAAGGCCGCGGCCTCCGATAAGCGAGAGGATTCTGGGGGAATTCATTGGTATGTGGACAGCATGCATCAGGCGCACACATAGAGTCAGCGGTAGCAGCCTTAGCGGTCAGTAAGCACACTGTTCACATCAGCAAGTGGCTGCTGTGTGTGATAAGGAGCTGGGCCCAGGAGGGGTGTACGTATCGTTTCGTGGACGAAGTGCGAAATTTTCCAGATTTGTTTTCGTACGTTTTAGTACGTACTTGCATATTATTCCTTTTTTCCTTCTGTGGGCGGTTGTCACTTTGAGAAAAGTGCATGACTGTTGTCATTTGTGGATTATGTGTCATGGTCGTACTCGAGGCGTACTCTTGAGGGCCTCCTGTGATCGATGAAAGGCTTGACTTCGGTAATTGTTGCCGACAGCGAGCTTGGTGAAGTTGATTTACGGCTCTCTTTATGTAAACATTGTTACATTCAGTGAGCTAGATAACAAGCCCTGTGCGGTCCGCTTCCTCTCTTTCTTTGCGCGGCATGTGTACATTCTCAGCCAGCCGAACTCATGTGTGTGTGTGGTTACAGTGGGCTCCAGACTCCCGAAGAGTAGAGCCATCGGGCCAGCTGGCCGTGCACTGCAGTAGAGACTAATAAACTCATGTGTGGATCACGCAAGGTCGACAACCTTCACACCTGGCATACTCAGTCGGTAAGATAAATCCTTGTCGCTGTTGTTCGTAGCCTGAAGGGAACTTTTTCCCTTAGCAGGTCGCTATTGGCTTTTGTTTCACGACTTGACGACCTTTTTGCCGTCGAGTCAGTACCCCTAGCTGCCTGCAGGTCTTCCCCCCGCCAACCTAACACACGCAGCCGTAAAGCCTTTCTTAGCTTATACTCATCGGCTTAAAACTTATCGTTCAGGTAGGTTCGGTTTGTTGGCGTCCACCTATTGGCGCTCTATCGCTCAAGGGATTTTACTTGAGTAGCTTTTCGCAGCAGCCTTACGGGTAGGTTAGGTCACGATAGTCGCCGCCAGTCAGCTGTGTTAGCTGCCCAGGCCAGTAGAGTTCATGGCAGTTAACAGACCCGCGGGCGCGATCCAGTTGGCATTGCCTGATATTGCGGTGACTTATGCACCCCAGCGCAATCGGGTGATTGTTACAGTAAACCGCCTGTAAACTAACTACTTGGGGTACACACTTTGCCTAATATTCAGCTTCTCTCTTTGTTTACTACGTACACGCACCAAACTAACTATGCAGCTTATTACTGGTCAGCACAACCTGACGTATCTTTTCTTTATCTTTAGCAGATACATCAGCTTGGGTGCGCCGGAATAGTAGTTGATAGGAAGCACTTGGCTACTTACAGGGTGTTTCCACTTGGCCGAACACTAACACTAAGTTTGAATGTTCTTCGTCCTGGACTCGTCTCTCACCGTTCTAAATGCATATATTGATACTACTAATGATAGTAGAAAATATTCATCAAACAAATTGGAGGTTGGGGCACTCCTGGCGGAGAACCGTAAGGCCTAGTGGAAACACCCCGTACACTAAGTCCACACTAGCGCACACTAAAGTTAATTGGACCTCAGACCTGCCATTCACTTTAGTACCTAGCACTAACTATTTGGCGGGGAACTTTTATGAGCTGGATTGTCCCTTCTGACCATAGACTTTAGACGTAAGCAGCTATCTTTTTTCCTTCCTGCAAACGCCGCGTTGACTTGCGCACGCCCAACACCGACAGCCTCAGAACACCGCCATTTTGCAATGGAGCCCTCCTTCAATAACGTTCAGCAAACATATACCGCTAGTTTGCCTTCCTTCGCTGGCCGGACGTTGCCAATGCACCATGCGGACTTCATGGCGGACATCATGACGCAGTCTGCGCCGCAGCGGATCTTAAATACGCGAATTCTTACAGACCTTGAGAATTAACAGCAATTAATCCCTGGCGCTAAAACGTTCAAAATACGAAAACAATTTGTGTTTCGGCGCTCCTTAGTGCCGCTAGTGGAAACACCGTCACACTAAGTCCACACTAGCACATAGTGTACCGAAGATAGTGTTCGGACAAGTGGAAACACCCTGTTATCCTTTATCCTTTTCGCTCTGCTTTAGTTGTTTTTCCTGTTAGATAGTAGATCCTTTTATTTTGTTTTTCTTTCTCTTTAGCTACTAACCCTGAACAGGATAATCTTAGTTCTACGGAGCCGCTACGTCGCAATATCCCTCGGGTTGCCACTGAAAAACATTTTCACTCAAAAACATCACGCGAGATCAGCAGGAGGTAAGTTCGGCGTCGCACAAGGCTGCGTGTAGGGGGTGTCTGCTCCAGGTACTCATACTAGCGAGCGATAGCCTCCCGCACTGCACGTTCACACTACGATAACGGCTTAGCAGTACATCAGGTGGAGCTAGCCCCAACTGAGTTAATAGCTGAAACCGGGTTGAGGTTGCTGCTTTACCAGCTACTATATAGACTAGGGTAGGACCTGAGAGGGGGAAGTGGGCGTGTCCTTTTGAAAAACTAGGGAGAGGCCCCGTATCTACATTATCTTTTCTAGGGACAGCGATTGAGAAGACGACATAATGCAGAACCTATATCCCACCCTCGACTTGTTTCAACGTAACCCGTTACGTTGGTTAGATGACGACTTACAATGTTTTTTTAGCAAGGGGTTGCCTATCCACTCACTAGGAACAACTTGTTCACCGAAAACCCTAAGTCATGCAAAAAAAGGTGCACTTCCTGGTCATAGCACGCCTTAAGAGCCAATGGCTCAAAATTCCCACAAGCACCACCTCATACCCCAGGTAAGTGGGGTTGAGGGTCCGCCTCCGCGCACTTTGTCTGTGCTCTCGCCTGAAGAGCGGGAGTAGGCTTTTAACCGTCAACTGTAGTAGCTGGCCGCCCAGCTTCATTTACCGCCCCCAACTAGCTCCCCAGGGCTATTTATGAGCCTAACTAAGCCCGCCACCCGCGGTGAGGCAGCGTTTTGAGGTAGACATCCTCTCCTATTCCGCGGAGGAAGCTTCGGATGCCCTTCTCAAGCGTGGCGAGGCTATGCGCCGTAACATGAGTATCGCGGAGGGCGGGGGGAGAATTTGCTTATTGCCCAGCATGGGGACACCTTGCGCTATGCAGTTCTGCATGGTGGGGGTTGCGTCCCATCCCAGGTTGCGTAGGTTCGACGTGGGTGACTAACTACCTTTTTGTCATAATACTACTTCGCGTACAGTATTAGATCATGAGGTTCAACCTCCCGTTCTTCGAGTTAGTGAAGTGCGTCCTAGCGGTGTGCTTGTTTTGCAAGGTCAAGACGGTCAAACCATGCAAACGCACGTAATGCACGGTGCGGTTTGTAATTTGCCTATTTTTTAGATGAAATTCTTGATCCTCCTTTACCTAGTCTTAGTGCCAATTCGTCCCGCAAAATTTGCAAAATGCCTGGTGGGAAAGAACGTATGCTTCTCTGCGACAGCTGTGGGACGAGGTTGGCATATTACCTTTTTTTGCCTAAAACCGTCTTTGAAGGAAATCCATAATGCCACGTGAGTTTATGTTCTAGCTGTAATCCTAAGGGTATATTACGGCTTTGCAAATAAAGAGGTTCACGCTCTTCACCCAACTCCAACAATGTTTCCAAGCCCAATGTTTCCATCACGGGCACAATCACCATATCGGCTTTACCCGCTGCTCGGGGAGGAGTCTGCCTTACGCACATGCCTTGTCGATGCTACAGTCGCATGACGCGAAACAAATGAAGATGGGATGGGATGGAATTCATCTGACAATCCCATCACAACGAAAAGGTTTATGAGTTGGACCCACCGTCAGGTTCTGAGGGCGCCAGCGGCACGCCGGGAGTAATGAGTCCCTCGGCAGAAGGTGGAAGGGGTACCCCCACGGATTGGTAGTCGGAGGTTTCGTCACGCGGCTGGCTGGATGGCGGCGGCGGAAGCGGAAACGACTGGGGCCCTGAGGGCGGTTCCAGCAGAGGAACGGAAGGTGGCTCTATGACATTCAGCGGTGGTGCGGGCTCCCAAGGTATCCACGGAGGTGTAGATTCCAGCGGCGGGTACGCTGATGGCGGCATTGATGGCGGTGTTTGCGTGAAAGGCGGCATCGGTGATTCGGGCTCACGTGGCGCCAGCGGCGGCGACGGCGACGGTGGCATCCGAGGGACTGGCGGCGCCGGCGCCGACGGCGGCGACGGCGGCGGTAGCGGTACATCTGGAGGGCTGCCGGTCAGCTCCATGCTCCCCAGCATGCAGCACTCAGTCCCGATAGATTCGCCCGAGTCAAAGAGAGCGAACCGGCAAGCGCCTCCAGTGCCTCCACCACCATTGTAACAGAGACTTGACAGCTTGGGGCACGGTGCTCCTAATGTAAAACAGATCTCTGAGCCCACTGCGATGCTCAAGTTCCAACGCAGACTCGAAATCTTTAGCGACGAAGACGGCCCGTCATTCGTCACCCATTGCCAGGCCTTGCCTGATCTGCCATTAATGCTGACGCCGCGAACTGAACCCTTACAATTCGGATCTGAAAAGATTTAGAAATCAGGTTGGGAGTGGGAAGCGGGACAAAAGAAGGGGGGAACCGAAGGTAAGATGGTGGGGCAGGAGGACAAGCGCAGGATAGAAGAATGGACGCATCCGAGTTGCAGCGCACGTGTTCCCGGTTCAAGTCCTTGCCGGAACTTCTGCTCCGCGCGCTGGGATCTTACTTTCGAACAACCAAACAAACGAAAATAACACAGTAAGTATGTTTATTGCGGTCCTGATAATCCAGATCCGCACACGCCAACGAATCTGTGTTTTCCTTCGTAGACACTCCCACCTGCTCACCCACCAACACCCGCCCACCTCCACCCAACCACCCAGCCGCCTACCAACACCCACCCACCCACTAACTCCCAGATGAAACCCGACAAGGCGGCTCAGCTTTTTTAGAGTAACACGCAATGCGGCACGTACCGGCCTCGAGCTCCAATTTGTGAAAGTCCGCTGAAATGGTGTCGCAGCACTGCTGGGGGCGGCTTCCAGCCGCCAGGGCACTGCAGTACCGCACCTGTGCCACCCGAAAGCAGTTGCGAACGGTGCCGTCCCTCTGCATGCATGCATACATACATACATACACAAGTACATAAGTACATACATACCTCCCGGTGGGGAACGCTGGCCGTTGCATCTTGTGCGGTCGGACCTGGGGGCGGAATGCAGGAGACCAACCAGCCCTGTGCGTCTGCCCTCCGTGCTGCGTTTCGGCCCTGGCCTCCCGGCTTTTGAGCCCACATTGTAATCAACATCATCCCTTCACCCCATCCCCCTTTCCCCCCCTCCCCCCCGCCATCCCTCCATCCCTCCATCCCTCCGGCCCTCCATCCCTCTATCCCTCCATCCCTCCATCCCTCCATCCCTCCATCCCTCCATCCCTCCATCCCAAGCGTACACTTATGGAGGCAGGCATGGGTAAATAAATGACCGCGAAGTCTGTACGACGAACAAGTACGTGTGATGAAAGTACGGCGTACGACACGTGCGACAAAGGCCGCAGCGCTTTAATAGCTGACAAAAATATGCCGTCATAATACACATTGTAACAAAAAGGCACAGCAGCGGCAGCATTACAGATGTAGAGGCGTTAATGCAACCCTCATTACCTGTGACCGGGAATACTTAAAAACCAGATCGTACGGGTTGTTGCTCGTTCCGCGACTGCAACGGCAGTACGGAAACTCCGTCGTACTGCAGGGAAGCATTAGAACATTCGGAACGGGGCAAGGGCCACAAGGGTACAGCACAGCACGGTGCGGGTAAAATCATCGAATGCTGTACTCAAGGTGGCTCGTTGTGGCCTGTTGTACATGGATATGCTAAGGAAAGGCAGCTTTTGTGTAACACACACACACACACACATACGCACACACACACACACACATACACAGGCCAACTGTTACTGTTACATGTATGATGGGAAAAACAAACAGCAGGAAAAGGCAGTGCAGCGTGTGGCACAGCAAGCAGCATACCTTAGCAAGGCCAACCGTGAGATGAAGCGGCTGCCTGGCTTTGCACTAACGTACCCGCCGTACCCGGCATGATCATCCCTCCCGTACACCAAAGGAGCGATGCCTGCAAAGTGCGTCAATCCACCCGTCAAGTTGTGTTCAAGAGGGTACAAGGGCGTTGGCAGGGACTGGTTTTCGGAAGACCGCTGATGACAGGGTGGATTGTCCTGCCTGTCAGGCGTGAAAGACTGTTCTGGTGTCGCCATCAACCCTGGCCCTCAGGCCTCAAGCAGACGACACACTACCAGGAAAGAGAACAAGTCTTCGTTTCTTCCTACAACGATATTTGAGGACGTCTCTTGACAATGCTTTAACAATCTACCCATGTATGGAAGCGCGATGTTGTTTTGCCAGTTATGGCGCGATAGCGGGCCGATAGATGCCGCCGAACACAGTCGCCTTAAGTCAATTTAGTCACACAATGAATTGCAGTTTGCTTACCGAGAAAGAGCACCAAGAGCGCAGCTCCGGAGGCAGTCGCGACGGGGAGCTGCTTGAGGCCCGTCGGACCACTCCAGGTCCGCATGCGGTTCGCTTCCTTCGTTGTGAAAGGACACTATTATCAGCATAAATTTAGTTGCATTTTTGACTAAATGAAATGTTGAGCGAACGAAGGAGTTGCACTGTCAGAAGTGCGTAAGCTGGCTATGGAACCCAGAACACAAAGGTTGAATACAGTTATTGTGCAGGATACATCAACGGCATAAGAGCAGCAAACTCGCTCTTGTTCAAGCCGCGTTGGCGAACACCGACCGACGACCGGGGAATCCAGGCTCACGGAGAATTCACAACGGATTAAAATATGCGGATTACACACAGCTAAATTTGCATGCTAAGTCCACAGCTGGAGATTATAAATGCCACCAAATGCAGCTTCCAACAACGCTGTCTTACCGTTCACCCGGGCCGCCGTTTTGTCAAGGATGAAACATATTATTATTAGTTGTTCCTTCCAAGGGTATCAGGACGCCACGGCCGGGATCGGACTACACCGTCGTTGTTTCGTGGTGGGCGGTTTACACCTATGAATCGCCTCAGCTCGATTTGCAAGTAACCATGCGTAAAGGATTAATTTATCGGCTTGAAAGCTGGATAATCGTCGGTAGAGATTGCTTCCAGCTTGTTTGCGCGTTTGTCCACGATGTCGTACAACAAACGGCTACAAGAAAGCAGACAGAAGCTTTCCATTGTCACCTGGCACCCACTCCTGAATCCATGTTAACGCGTATAGCAATCCCTTCATTACAAACGTAGAGGTCATAGTGGTAATTTCAGGATACTTTACGGACTGCGATACCATGACAAAATCAGCATATCCATAGAACACAAATATAAATTTAACCTACCAGCCGTATGACACCCTAATGAATCGAAAGAGTGAAGTCGGGACGCACGGTCTGCGCGATGCACAGGTTACATCCCATGTGCAAGAGCTCGACACCCGTTTCCCTTCAAGGAATAAACAATAATGCACAAAAGCTTTTACAGGGCAATGTATTTGTATCACATGATGCAAGAACACGCGCCTTCGTGTCTTCATTCCTACAGAATTGACATCGCTGGAACACGGACGAGCTTTCACTCCCTGTGAGCTTTCACCGATCAGAAACTAAGCACCTGCAGCAGAACTGAGAAACTTTAAACTGGCCATGCATGTCTAGATGACAGCATCTTGCCTTGTGTTGTTGATACGGTAACATCCTGATGGCATGCCGGTAGGATTGTGAACTCCGGGGCTTTGAGATACACTCGAATGAGACCAATATCACGAATTTTTGCAATCCTACATTTTTATCGCGTAAGAAATGAAGAGAACCAGACCTTCTATTTCTACTCAGGCAAATCAAACAGAAATTCCCCAGTGCGAATCTCCCACGTCTGGTGAATCCGAAGCTGAATATGCTAATTTCTTTGATTAAAGGTGAAACACGCATATTCGTCATAAAGCCACGCATTCTTCCAGTCTACACGTACGTAGCTGTTTTTAAACTTAAGCTTTCTCGGAACCTCGTGCCCATTACAAACTGGAGTTATAGTTTCATGCAACGCTACAGCCGGCCAACGATCTACTTAGAGTAAGCGCGTCTGACTGTCTTGCCAGGGGAGTACCCATCACATGGGAAGCAACCGGGAGTGCAGATGCATCTGCAGATGCAGCTGGCATCCATATGGCGAAGTATAAGCACTGGATGGTGCTGCATTTTTCGAGAGTCGCAGCCGTCGTGTGGCCAACATATGCTAAGGTTTTCATTCCTCGTTTAGCACAGCGTAAGCTAATGCAGTTTCGTTTATGTTGCTGAGTTCTGGAGGCAAACAGAGCACGAAGGGGCAAGTACCATGTCCCCAGGGAGCAGCGGGGGGTTAGTACCACAATACTAACAGCCACATCGAGGATGAAAAACACGTGTTATTGGAATTCCCAGCCTGTAATGATATTCGCGTGGAAGAAGGATCCGATCATCAACAGAGCATGTTGGAGGCCATGAAATGGGAACCAGTACGTCTGGCGAGGATGTTGGAACGTATGTTGGCTCACCGCAACTCAGTTATCCCCTCTAGACGCTAGCCTAGGCTGATAGTGCGGTGTTTCCTGCTCTCCGTGGCTTTTAGCCGTATAGATATTGCCCTTGAACCTTCGGCTCGTATGGGTAGTTTTACAGGTATGGGGTCACGCACCCCCAACCATGTAACACACACAGACAGACAGACAGACAGACAGACAGAGTATCCCCCTTGGCACACGTTAAGATGTCGCTCGCATTACCCAGCCATCAGTCAGCCTGCGTGCGCGAGATAATTTAATGTCGAAAGTATAGACAACTAGGCATGTCTGCGGGAAGGCATTTCTGCAGGCAAACGTGTACACCAACACACTCTGCTGACGGGTTTAGTTTGGTAACCAGATTCTGTAGTCGAGTAGTCAAGTGTCGATACAACAGCGGCGACAAGCTGGACTTGCTTATACTTGTCACCATTATCCTGAACATTAAATTATAATACCTTCGTGCCAGCCTAGCCAGCAGTCTCTTTGCCTGGTGTAGGCGTCACTCACTGCGCACTTCAGGGGCCCCAGATTAAGAACCCAGCAGCGAGTGGGTTACTTCATGATTATGCACTTTTTAGCACTCCATGTACGAATGTAGTACGACAATACCATCAAGCAAGTTGAACAGAGACATTTCTGGACATAAAACAACAACGAATAAGAATAGGCAGCACGAAAAGTACAAAGCGATACAGCACGTTTTGCAGCGCTTACCAACGCCGCCTCGTCAACCGCTTCTTAGCGCCTCATTAACAAATGTAAAAAGGAAGCAAGCAGGCCCTCTGAACCCCAACTGTGTTTTTCTATCCAGCTTTTCTAGTGCAGGTTGTTTCGTCCCAGTCATTCCCCATCCTGCGCTGGGCGTGTATACACCTAGCCGACCTGAACACGAAGACATCCCCACAAAAACGCATCTTCCCAAAATACATCCTCCCGTCCTGCATGTTGGCCTTCACAAATATACGCACACGCACAAGTATACGCACACGCACAAGTATACGCACACGCACAAGTATACGCACACGCACAAGTATACGCACACGCACAAGTATACGCACACGCACACGCACACGCACACGCACAAGTATACGCACACGCACACGCACACGCACACGCACACGCACACGCACACGCACACGCACACGCACACGCACACGCACACGCACACGCACACGCACACGCACACTGCCGTCCTGCACTTCGTACTTCCACATCAACTTCAACCTCCTGGGCCAACGAAAGCTAACGAACTCAGAAAGTCAGCAAACTGACACCGTTAACCAATCCCACCCGCAGCAGGACCTACCACGTCTATTAAGCGGCCCTGCCCTTGCCAGGATCCAGGCACTCACAACCACCGCTCGACGCACAGGCTCTATAACACCGTGCCAACTATTCATCAGCATTCGCGCTGCTCCGAATGTATTATATTGCCATAAAATTTGCCGATAGTTCAAAACCCTCTACGACAGCATTCCTGCAATGTCACCCTGCAAGGGTTTCGGCCAAATACATGCACCCACTCATCATTCTAAACACCTCAAAGATCGCAATCCTGGCACTCGAAGATGCGAAAAGAAATCCTTAAGCTGTAGCCTGTCTTCACAAAGTCCACTGATCGAGCCTTGTACCGGCCATATTCCGTTCTACGAACTCAAGAGGAGAGGTTAAGGCACCACATTCTGATGCCCCGCAGCCCGCATATCCTTTCCTTGCCCAAGACTTCGCTTGCACACGATCGGTACACTTCCTTAGATATGCAAACGAACATCAGAAGCACGACTGTGAGTAGGTGCACACTCCTCCTCTCATGTCCCCACGCATAAAAATAGTCTAAGTGTTTATACCACCCGCAACAGGAGCTACACCATGATAACTTCTACAGCAGCTGCTGCAGCTGCAGCTCTCGCTGCTTTGGACTGTGCGGCTTTTTCAGGCCGCGGCCGCATCCACCGCGACCAAGGTGCGTCCTGATTAAGCTCTGCGCTTCACATCGATCGCAGCGTCCCCGCGCAGCTCAGCTCACCGCATTACGTAACATGTGCGACAATGCAGACAACATCTTTGCAAAAGGGTTATGCAATTTCGCTTTGCAGCAGATGACTTCATTCTCGCTCACACACATACACACACACAAACACATACACACACATACGCGCACACACACAGACACACATACGCGCACACACACAGACACACATACGCACATACGCACACGCACAGACACACATACGCACACGCACAGATACACATACGCACACGCACAGACACACATACGCACAGACACACATACGCACACGCACAGACACACATACGCACACGCACAGACACACATACGCACACGCACAGACACACATACGCACACGCACAGACACACATATGCACAAGCACAGACACACATACGCACACGCACAGACACACATACGCACACGCACAGACACACATACGCACACGCACAGACACACATATGCACAAGCACAGACACACATACGCACACGCACAGACACACACACAGACACACACACAGACACACCCAGGCTGCGACGCAACATATGCATCCAACACGCAACGAACACAAAAACACGGGTCCCTACTTGACACGAACACATGCACACTAGACAAACACCCCAACCCCTCGCAATGCCATCGCTACCGCCATCGCAGTTGCCGGCGGCACCGCCACTGCTACCATGTTAGGTGTTACTGTTAGGCGTTACCGTGAGGCGTTACCGTACGACAACACCTTCAGCCAGATTACAAGTCAGACAGGTTACAAGTAGGGCTTGCCTGTATGTCTGAGACAAGGTTTTCTCCAGCCTGGACTCGCAACTGTCCATTGCAAGGTTCCTTCAGAAGCTGCATCTGCTACTGCTGCTGCTGTTACTGCTGCACCTGCCCCAGCAGTGAAGGCGCCGGCTGCTGTGTTTGCTGCTGCTGTTGCTGCTACTGCTGCTGCTGTTACCGCCGCAGGGCTTTCGCCCCATCAGCTGTCAAAACTGTTGTGACGGCCAACAAAGGCCAGCATATTCATCCAACGGCGATTGCATTAAATGCAGCAGCGGCGGTAGTAGGCCGCTGCAAGCACCCCCACAATCGTTAGAGCTCTTTAGAGCTCCCCTGAACGCTCCGCCCCATCTCAACGCTTCCCTCCACGACCGGAGAAAGACCGCATCCAACCACCCTGTCGCGCCGCCGCCGCGGCAGCTGCTGCTGCGACTACTGCTGCATCAGGATCGCCATAGCCAGCCTACCGTGCTTCATCCGATTGCGGCAGGTGATTGTACGGAAGGGTCTCTCCCTGCCCTTGGGCCTCGACGCTGTGGCCGACGTCGTACTTGTTGCGCCGGCGCCACAGCAGCACCAGAAAAACAATCGCGAGGATGACCGCGCCGACTATGAGACACACGATCAGCGCAATTTGCCCGTTGCTGAGCTTGCTGCTGTTGCTGGAAGTAGCTTTCGTCACTACAGTGGTGTTATCCACGCGGGTGTTTGACGTGTCAACCGGTGGCTGCTGCTGCGGCGGCGGGCTGGCCGTACGATTAATCATCGGAGCGCCGCCCAAGCCAACAACTGGGCCCGGTGGGGTTTCGGTATCACTAACAATCCCTACCATGCAATTCACATTGTCGAACACATGTACGACACATGTATCTGTACTTTGGGAATCCAGGACGCGCTGTTCACAGATATCGTTTATGGCCTTATTGCCGCTGATGGTGAAATTAAAAGTCATGTTTTTGCCAGCAGCTATGCGAAAGGGCACCAGCAAGGTGGTGTTGAACATAAAGGCGGCGGGAGTGGAGCTATTTTTTTGCGCCACTTCAGCTGTGACGTTGGGGTCAGCAAGCCTAATCATGGACCAAGCTGGCGACGTTAGGTTCCTTAGCAGCTCTTCGCAGTTCGACGAATTGGATTGCGACGAAGCGGATACATTGCCGTACAGCCGTACAGTAACCGTAGTCAAGTTGCTGCTTGAGTGCGTCACCTGCAACGCTGTTGAGATGCAGCCGCCGGGGCCAAGCTGCCATGTGGAACTGATCCGCTGGCCAACACATTTTGGGTAACCCGAGCTGAGTACGTGACTCTCGACGCCTGACAGTGCTGACGGCAGCGTCAGCGCGAATGTACGGTTGCTCGTTGTCCATGTCTCCGCCGGTGTACTGTAACCGCGCGACTGCTGCTGATCCAGCTGCAGCCTCCGCCGCTGTTGCTGCTGCTGCTGCTTTT